GGTGTATGTTTTTACTATTTCTATTGGTTGACCATTCACACTGATTCTCTCAATTTACTGTTCCTTCTTAGAGATCATCATTTTTGTTTTCTTAATGTTCAGTGAAAGTCCATATCTCTCACTTACTTCTGTGATTTCATTAACTCCTGGATATGCTTGCTGTGGTCGTTGAGTACGGTCGTTAAAGAGCATTATGAGTTCAGCATACGCATTGTCAGATCCAAGAGCTTTACCATATTTTAGTTGTGATATTGCTTTTTTCCACTTCACCTGATTGGTGATTGGTAAGTGGTCATTACATATATAGGACGGAGGTTGTTCGGATCTATTATCATCAAAGAGTTCTTGTATGAATTTAGTCCATATGCATATTTCCTAATTTTTATCTGTTATGATATTCCCCTGTTCATCTTGCAGTCTAGCTGTATTGAATTTTTGAAGACCAGCTGCTTCTTTTACCTTTTTATGCATATTAAATGTATCGTGTTTTTGTTCCAACAACTCGATCTCTTCACACTGTGCTTTTAAAAAATATTCTTTGGCCTTTCCTATTTCGGTTCTTATTTATCTCTCAATATTTTTGTTCATTGCTTTGTTGTTCTTTGATTGTCTTCTTTTTTCCATGAGTTGCAGTATATTGTTACTTTTTCTTTTGTTTTTCTTTTCTATTAAATGTTCTTTTCTAATATTGTTCAAAATTTCACATATGTTCTGGAGGAATTCTTCTGGATTATATGTTTGCTCCATGTTACTAAGCTTTTCTAAAAGAATCCTTGCGACTGTCTCCTTTGTTTCCTTATATTTTAGTTTTCTCATATCACATTTTTTGTTACTATTCTTTTTTGTAACTTTTTAAAAATAAATTTACCAATAACAGGAACATGATCTGACGATATGTCAGCACCGAGGTAACTTTTAACTGATAGGCTTTCATTATGGAATCTCTGTTCACCATTATGTAATCAATTTGATTCCGTATTGTTTCCTGGTTGATCTTGCGGAGAGGTAGTTTGAAGAACGTTTGAAGAAATTAATAAATAAATAATAAGTACTTTATGTTCTTCTACTTCTTTAGATAGTTACGTTAAATTAAGTTTCTAATACCTTTAAGAACTATCCTAAAATAATGCCTTTCTTGTGCTTCTGGTTTTTAAAATATTATGTCCTTATCCACTGATTATATCGAAAAACGTTTTTTTTTATATTCTTGGAAATAAACCCATTTGTCGTTTATAACAAATAGTTAAAATCTTTCTACTTCAGTTCAAAACAATTGCGAAATAAAGTGTTTTGTCATACTAAGAAGTTGCGTCATTACTTTTGGATAATCATAATATTTGTGATGTTGATAAATGACTGTTTTTCCAATTTTTGGGTGACACTTTGTATTAGTCTATAAATTTGATTTATTTAAAGCAACTGCATCCAAAGTGTAGTTACATTTTATGTATATATTTCAGTAATATCAAATTTTTAATTTAAAACACAAATAATCTCCCTTCCCCCCAATAAAATTAAAATCATCATCATCATCATCTTGGTGCTACAGCCCTTAGAGGGCCTCGACCTTCTCAAGCTTTCTACGCCATTCTGTTCTGCCCTTTGCTTGAATTTTCCAGTTGCCGAATCCGATCTTCTCCGCATCTTGTGTTACCCCATCCATCCACCTCAGCTTTGGTCTACCCCGTCGTCTCATTCCCATAGGTTGCACTGTTAGAATCTTTTTTATCATGTTCGATTCAGGGGCCCGGGCTACATGTCCTGCCCACTGCAGGCGGTTTCGCTTAATTATAGTGGTAATATCTTTACCACCAAATGTATGCTTGGAGATATTCTGCAGTTCGAAGTTATATCTACGCCTACATATTCCGTTTTCACAGACCGCTCCAAATATATTGCGTAGCACCTTTCTTTCAAACATGGATAGAGCGGATTCATCTGTTTTCGTTAGCGTCCATGCCTCTGATCCGTATGTAAGAACGGGGACTATCAGTGTTCTATACAGCCTTATACAAGTTTTTTGAGACAGACGTTTGTTAGCTAAGTACTTTGATAGACCATAACACCTGTTTGCAATTATTATTCGCCTTTTTATTTCCTCAGATGTATTATTATTGGGGTTAACCGATGTCCCTAGATATATGAATTCATTGACTGCTTCGAAGTTTTGGTCATTGATGATTAAATTTGTGTCAACATTTCCAGCTCTTGTGTTTGTGTTAGTCGCCATTAAATTTGGTTTTATTTTGATTTATATGTAACCCCATTCGTTCTGCTGCTGCTACTAGCTCGGTCAGGATTTCCGCAGTTCTCGCCCTAGTTCTTGTTATAATGTCCACGTCGTCTGCATATGCTAGAATTTGGACTGATCTATTAAATATTGTTCCCCTGCTATCTAAATTAGCGTCTCGTACAACTTTGTCTAAGGCGACATTAAAAAGCTGACACGCCAGCGCATCTCCCTGCCTTAACCCCCTATGTATTTGAAATGGGGTTGACGAGTCGTTTTGAATTTTTACTGCTGATAGCATCTTCGCCATTGTCACTTTTATCAATATTAATAAAATTAAAATAGCTATGATGATTTCCAACCTCCGATAGGAGAAGAAACCTGAAGAAGAAGAATCTCCCTTCTTCTTCTTTGAATACCGTGCCCAAGTTTTAGGCGTAAGTAGCTTCCATGACGATTTCCCGATATCGGTCTGGATCTTGCGCGGCATATAATAATTCATCTGTTGATAAGCCAGTCCGTTGACGAGCTATGAGTATTTCTTCCTACTAATTCCCCTTTTTTCGTCGATCTTTCCGTTGAGTATCAATTGCATTATCCTGTATTTTCACAATTCCTGCATTTTCCTTATTTTAATTGTATTCAAATCCTTTTTTTTGTTTTTCATTTGTTTCAAAAAGCAGTTGTTCGTGATCTTATCCACCCAGTTTATTTTTAAGATTCTTCTGTCCACATCTCACACGATTCTCTTCTGTTGCTAAAGTCCTATTTTAGAGTCCATGCCTCCATTCCATAAAAACACCTAAAACCTCAGTGACTGTTTTTATCTATATTCTTAATTTTACAAAATATGTTTTGATAATAATTGCGAAATAATTGCGAAATAACATCTTTGTACTAAAAAATGGTGTTATTCTAGAGATCTAATGTTTACATTATTGATAAATTTGGGCTAACTGGATAAATATTATGCTGCTGGAATATATTTTTTTCCAAAGTAATTTTATCTTTTATGCAATATAAGTGAAATACAAATTTTATAAACAAACTATAAAACTAGTTGATAAGAAAACACATTGTAATTTGAATTTTTTATAATTAACTCTGCATTAGGGTGCATGGATAAATTGGCACGAGAGGTGTTCCAAATTACCTTCTGCAGGTGGTTAAAAATTTTAAAATTTATAGATTATGAGAAAGCTTACGACAAAGTTAAACATAACATTCTCATGGAATGTCTAAAGAGAAAAGGACTCGACAAAAATGACATTAACATAGTGAGACCCAGTAAGCACAAGTACGTACATAAGACATACTAAGTACGTACTTATGGGACATAAAGTACGTACAATGTACGTACTTTGCTGTACGAAGTACGTACTTAATACGTACATATAACGTACATTTTCCAAATTATTGTACGTACCTAGTACGTACTGAAAGTACGTACCTGGTACGTACTGAAGGTATATACCTAGTACATATTGAAGGTATGTACTTAACATACTATATATATATATATATATATATATATATATATATATATATTATGTACATACTATACACACTTATGATAATTTATGTAAATAAAAGTAAATATAGGTGAATATATTTTTATTTTTTTTTATAAATTCAATTTTTATTCTTTTAAAAATAAGAAAGAAAGTTTTTAAGCGATCCCCGACTCTCCTTAACCATCGTCCAATTTCTTGCTCCGCCACTTTCTTATCACATTTTTGACACAAAAAACACTCGACTGAATAAAATAACAGGAAACCACAAGCATCAAACACCAAAAATAAATAAAAAAAATCTAAATGAAACTGTCTTGCAATGACTTATCACATCACAACTGTACTCGAGGTGTAAAATTCTAACTAAATAAATTAGGTTAGGTGAACATAACCTAACATAATAAATATGCTTTAACTCTTCTTTCTCATGGTACATACTTAAGACGTAATAAGTACGTACTCTTCTGTACGTACTGGTATGTACCCCAATGTACGTACTTAAAACGTACATTTTACATCATGTACGTACAGTACGAAAATTGTACGTACTTAAGACGTACTGTGCTGTTTGGGGAAATCTCTATTGGAACCAACATTTCTGTCGTTTGTATTATGTTATATGGATTATAACATGATAAAAACACCAAAAATTATAAAATCTGGGACACTTGAGGAATAGCTAGAAATACAAAATCTTTCCACTCGTTTTACAGGGATAAAGTGCATGAAAAGACATAAGTATTTTATAGCTAAAAAATCTTTGTACTTCTTTGGTTAGTCTTTGGTTAACTATAGGATTGTCCACATCCATGAATAATGGACACATATCCTACACTGATGGACAATAAAAGAAGAATAATTTAGTATAAAATCAATTTTTTATAGTGAATTACTCTGTATTATTCTGTGAAATTAGGACTTTATATACAAACAGTTATTTATGTTTTTTTAAGCGCCTCGTATTATAGGTGTTTAGAACAGATTAAGATATGCACCTTGTTTCGCCCTTAGTACCCCGCCATTGAACCCTAACATGAAGAGAAACGAGTGCGATCCATACACATAATACCCTAAAAATATTACGTCAAATAAGTTTGTTATACCACGAAATCAAATCGGCGCATTTCACTTTCAAAAATACGTCAGCAACCGCATCGCAGTAGGCGCATGAGCTCCCAAACCAACTACAAACTTTATTATACGATCACCAACGACGGTGTCTCTCAGTTACTCAGTATACTAGTTAACTTGGGCAAGCGCACGACAGTGTGGTACCCAAGTGAGCTGCGACACAGTGACAGTTCTTCCCGGGCAATTGTTTTTAGCGGTCGCACGGCCTTCGTGATAAATAAATTTAATAGTAAAAGTCAAAAAGTGTCTGACCTCTTTCTCTTAAGATTATGTCGAAAAATTTAAAAGTGAAAAGTGCGGGCGACACGATTTAAAATTTAAACAAGAGTTTCGGTGAAAGTGGAACCGAGTGAAAGTTAAAATTTCGGACGATGGATTCACCTCAAATGTACGACAATCAGCAGCATCAACAAAATAACGCTGTGGTTAATCAAGATGCTAAAAAGACTGTTATAATGAACAATAATAACAACAATCTTACCACCCTTAATAACAACAACGGTAGCTCTAAACAGACGCAAGCTCTGTTAAAGCAGCATCAGTTGCAGCAATACCAACAACATGGTGAACTTAGTGACTTAAATACCCCCGAAATATCTTTAGACTTACAAAATTTAATAGACGATTCTCAATTTAGTGATGGTTTGTTTACGGAAATTCTTTCTAATCAAGGTAAACACATACAAAACTTACAGAACAGACAAGTGATGGGTGTACATAATACAAATTATCCAAGAACTACTTTAGCGTATATGCCCCAACCCGTTCACAGTGGAGCTACTTACTCTACCAATCAAAACTCAAATAGTGACTCTAATAGTTCGGTCGGGAGTGACGTACCTAGTATAAAAGAAGAACCGATGGATCCCCAGGAATACAGGAGGCAGCCTTGCAACATTCTTCCGAACAGCTACATCCCCGGATCGTATCCCCAAAATCCAGGCGCAACCTTCACGACCCTAACCCCTAGCCCAGTCATACATCACCAGCTTAATATGAACGCTATGAAAAACAAAGCAACTCTATTAAATCAACACAATATAGCTAGAAAAAATATGAAACCCTGTGATAAAAACAGCGACGAATACAGAAGGCGAAGGGAAAGGAACAACATCGCTGTGAGGAAGAGTCGAGAGAAAGCCAAAGTCAGAACCAGGGAAACCGAAGAAAAAGTCAAAATCCTCATCAAAGAGAACGAAAGGCTACAAAAAAGGATAGAGTTGCTTACGGAGGAGTTGAACGTCCTACGCAGCCTTTTCTCCAGCGTGGGGGTTCTCCCGGAGCACGTCCACAGGGAGATCAACAAACACCTAGACTCGTTCCAGCTGCAGCACCAACAACAACAACATATGTAAGGACTTTTTATTTGAATGACACAGACTGTTTTCTAATTGATTCCTCTATTCAGGTCTGAAGACAACAGGCAGAGGATGATGGAAATCGTCCACGATTACGGACCATAGCCTCCAATAAATTAATAGGTATAAGGTCGTATTTCACATAAAACTATTTTTTTTATTGCGATATATATTTAAATAAAACAAATTTTTCACAAAGAACAATATGAAAACATGAATTACATATATATCTTAAGAAACGCTAATTTTTTTAATTAACTTTAATGTTTCCACTACATTTTCATAAAAACAGCATAAGATATAAAAAAATATATAAATTTTATTAGTACACGCCTTTTTTAATATTTTTTCAACAAATAATTTGTCGTTTATAATATAATTTTCATATTATGGAAAGTTCTCTCAACCAAGTGATTTTAAGAACATTTTTAAATGCTTATCAACCCATTATAAGTGAAAATCCAGTGTTTTCGTAATTTTATAATATTTATTAACCTATTTATTTAAATAATTACAAAAAATGTTACAAAAATCTAGTAAATTTTAAATCGTTATTTTTGTTACAATGTTATTTATCGACAAAAAATAGTTTTATTGGAAAAGACTTTTAGGTAGGTAAACCGATTATTCGAAAGCTTTAATTTATTTTTTATTATTATTTTTTGAACAAAAAATGAAAAGCATGAGGGCCATTTTGTTGAACACGAAAATTGATTTCTAAACGATTTTAAAATCCTTTATTTTTTAGTGTTTTATTCAAATTGTATATCAATATATATTTTATATAACCAATAATTCTGAAAATATACAACCTTTTATGAAATTGCAATTAAAACGAAATATTTTGATTTAAAAAATTATTATTTTTATTTTAAAACGTCATATTTTTTGTATGATTTATAGTATTTATAAAATATATCAGTTGTATTTAATAACAAAAATACTGAATGTGATTGCTATGAAATAATTGACGCAATTTTTTTGTCTAATCTCATCCAAAAAATTATATATTTTAGATATTTCAATTTCTTTCGAACAAATAATATTACAAAGTTATTATTTTATTTTTATATGTGTATTTATTTTTGTTAAATATACCCCCTTCAAAATTTAGAATCTATCAAACCTTACTAACAAGTTAAAGAAAAATTATTGATTTTCTTTCATTAATAATAAATTATTTAAATTAAAATAAATTTTTTAAATTTACAATTCCTACTAATTGTTGATCTTTAATAAAAAGGTAAAAAATTATCAAAAATAAGAGCATTTTTCTAGTCTTCCTCTCTCTAATACGAATAATTAAACAACAAATTCCTCTATATATAGTTGTCATATTTTTCCATTAAAATTATCTTCCAAAAATATTCCAGTGGGCCCTTTTCACGTTAGTAAAAATTATTTCGCATTATTTTATATTGATTTTTAATTTATAGTATTTTCTTTCAAACAAATAATATTATAAAGTCATCATTTTATTTTTATATGGGTATATTTTTGTTAAATATACCCCTGCAAAATTTAGAGTCTTTCAAACCTTCCTAACAATTTTAGAAAAAAAAGTATTGATTTTTTTTCATTAATAATAGTTTTTTTAATATACAATTTCCACCAATTGTTGATCTTTAATTAAAAGGGCATTATTTCTCTACTCTTCCATTCTTTAATACAAATAATTAATTCAACAAATTCCTCTATTTGTAAATATAGTTGTCAAATTTGTTCATTAAAATCATCTTGATTCCAGTTGGCCCCTTTCACGTCACACATTATTTTAAATTGATTTTGAATGCGTGGTATTTATTATTTAAATGAATATGTGATAAGTTGTATCACAAATTTGAAATTATATAAATTTATAACTAAAATTCTCCACTTTTGTTAGTTTCGGATCATTTTTATTTACTTTTTGCAGAAGAGATAACAGAAAACTCCCATTATTTCATCTATTCAGCTTTTTAGTTAAATGTATGTAATTATTTTTATAGTAAACGTCTCTATATCCATATTAATCAGTAATATAACTCCAGTTCGTTGGACATCCCTCTAAAAGTATTTTCTTTTAGTGTTTCTGTTTCTTCTTCTTCTTAGTCGTTAACCTGATGCAGGTATCGTGATATCATGAAGCTGTTAGGTAATTTTTCCAATGTTCCTCCACGTTTTTCTATCTTCTGCCAATCTAGCACATTCTGACAATGGAGCGCCAATGGTAGCAACAATATGGTCCGTGTATCGTGTAGGAGATCTACCTCTACTTCTTTTGCCTTCTACTTTTCCCTGGATGGTAAGTTTTTCAAGACCATTTCTTCGAAGCACATGTCCAAAATAGCTTATTATCTGTTCTGTTATTTATGTTCTTAGTCTTTTCTTTATGTTTAGCTGGACCAGTATGGATTTATTTGTTCTTCGGGCCACCCATGGTATTCTCAGCATTCGTCTCCAGCAGTACATCTCAAATACATCTATGTTCTTTTTGTCTTTCTCAGTAAGGGTCCAGCATTCCGATGCATAAGTAAAAACTGGAAAAACTAGACTTCTTACTAGTCTCATTTTTGTATCGGTAGTAATTTCATGGCTTTTCCAAATTTTGTTAATTTTGCCATAGCGCTTTTTGCGATTGCTGACCGGCGCTTTATTTCTTCAGTACAGCCTCCTTTGTTGGTTATTAATGAGCCCAGATACACAAATTTATCTACAACAGCGATATTGTTTATCCTAACCAGATGATTTTGATTGTTGTTAGCTCTGTCAATTATCATGATTCTCGTTTTATCCCTGTTTATTTTAAGGCCCATCGTTAAGCTTACGTCTTCTATCCGTTGTATCTGTGTAGTGACTCTTAATATGTGTCAGTGAGAAATACTTATTCTAAATAACCATTTTTATTAATTTCATTAACTCATCAACTTAAACAACATATTTATTCATCATCATCACCCAGCCCCTTCCGTCTACTGCTGGACATAGGTCTCCCTTATTTTTGTTTATTTGTGCTCTTGAACACTTTTCATCCAATTTTTTTCACATTTTCTTGAGATCGTCAGTCCAACGAGTGCTCAACTTCTTTTGTCTAGCCTCGGACTCCACTCAAGCGATATCTTCATCCACCTTTCATCACTGATTTGGGCGACATCAATCAAACAATGTTCAAACCTTTCTCTTGCCAGTTAAGTTGTTTACAAGCATATTCTTGCATGCGGCATGCTTGTAGTGCTTCCAGAATTTTGTCAAATTCTACCGTGTCAAAAGGTTTCTAGAAATCTACAAAAGCCAGAACTAGTGGTCGATTGTATTAGATATTCTTTTCTATTACCATTTCAATGCTCTGTAGGTGATCATTTGTTCCAAATCCGGTACGAAATCTCACTTGCTCTATTGGCTGATAGAAATCAAGTTTTTTCTCAAGATGATTCGATACTATTCCTGTAATGAGTTTGTATCGGTGCCTAACTAGACTTATAGGTCTGTAGTTTTCTAATTGATGAGATCCACTTTTTTGTACAATAGAATTACCTCAGCATTGTGTCATTTGTCTGATATATTACTGTCCAAAAGGCACATAATGTTAATTGAATCCTTAAAACCTCCCTTTAATATCAAATGTATTTAAATCAAACTTTAAAATCAAAATTTTCTAAATTTACAAAGTCAAAATCTGGCAAAACAGTATCATAATCGCTCAATTTTATTACCATCTCCCAAATTAATTTAATTTCCACTTTGTTGGTACGTTTCCCTCTACGATACGCTGGTATAGCCGCCCATGCATGGTTTCAAACGATATACAACAATAAGTTGTAAAATTATAGTTTCTATTTTCGTCTTAAATCAGGCACATAAAATTCATTCAGTAAATGTATGAATTGAAATTTACAGATATGAACAGTTTTAACATACTTGACATTGAAATGAGAACAATATCGACTGGTTTGTATTTGTATTTTTAATAACAAAATTTGGATTTCTTGTTAAATACTCTTGTTGAATGATAAATAAACTGGCCGAGAAAAGATTATTTACTCCTGGTGTCTGCTGTAACATCTACTTTTTATTTTTTTAGCAATTTATTTCAAAGCTTCTAGCACATTTAGGTCCCTGAATCAATAAATTCAGAATTTCAAATTACAACAATTATTTGCTTAAAAAATATTGTATATCTAATAATTTTCACAGTTTTGTCAAATGTTCAGTCTTTTATTAAGAATCCTACTGATCCTTAATTTTAGGACCGAAGTCCAGGTATATCTAGGACTATTTTATCAAAGCTTCGGCAAAGTTCTATTTCAGCTGTAACTGTGCTGAATGAACCTGATTAAAGTCATCGTGGCCTACTTGAATCCGCTTCTCTGCTAGTTCCCCTTATTATATTTTTATTTGTAGATTCAGAAGAATCACTCATTTGTGAGTCCTCTTTTGGGTCATCTATTGGTCTTTGACTGGTTTAGCTTTCTCCCTCTACCACTATGGCTACAACTCTTATGATATTATTAGTAGATTTTAGTAGGTCTAAAATCAACCGTCTAAGGCACCCTCTGATGTGTCCACCTGCAAAGTGTGGGATTTCAGACTGAAGCCAAGTACTTGGCTCCTGAAAACTTACAGGTGCAAGTGCTGTGTTTATTCAAGATACTGTTTTTTGATATCACTTTCCTCTTTGTATTCTTACAGTCGTGTTTGTATGTGACGAATCTGCCGAGAATAACGATTAGGTATTTTTAGGTTGAGTAGTGCTCTAATACCTGATCTGATCTTTAAGATTTTTATCAGCTTCTTTGTTAAATGGAAAGCATATGCCTTTGTTTTTGACGGATTTAGCTTAAGGTTGTTTGGTTCATAGTAAAGCTTCAGTTTTTCTAGTGATCTTGAAAGTTTACCCTCCACTTCTGGGAGGTTTGTTGTGTTTCATGAGATGTCTTGGCTGGTTGCTTGTGAGATGTTAAATAGCTGTGGAGCCAGCAATAGCATTGGACCAATTCGTTCGTCTGGATTTTCCAGCGGCTGTTTTGACTTTGAAATCTTACATAATAGCTGAAAATAATCATAGTTTCATTACATTCAAAATATCATCATAATCAGAGTAGGTTTGATAAAAATTTTAAAATTTTTTGACTAGAATTTACATTACAAAATTTCCACAGGTTGATTCAGAATTATTGGTATCTTTACAAGACTCATAGAATATCAATTACAATAATATTATAGTTCTATAAAGGCTTACAAATGTATTTATCAATAATTTTACTGCTCAGAAAACTAATTATGTCAAACTGTTTAGATTCATCATTCAAATTACTTGAAACAAGT